GTGTAAAACGTGAGTGCAATTGTCGAAATTACCACATGAGAGATGTGTCCTCTGCATGATTGTTTGTACGTAACAAAGTATCTGCCTACGTCAATCCAATAAGACTGGTATCACTTGCGCAGATAAAGAATGGATACCGAATTGGCGACATTATTGTTGACATCCTACTCATATTCCATATAATATGAAAGAGAGGAAAACAATATGTTGCAAATTCGGGATCCATTCTCTATCTGCGTAAGTTATACCTAATGTACCTACGTTCAGCCTATTTAACCTACCTTACCTACGTTAGAAATTAATTGAATAATGTAGGTATGTAACTCAATTATATGGCCCCATTTCCTGAATTACAAACCACCGAAATAGGTCACTAATTCAACTCACATGCCTATGTGTAACCTGCGCAGATAAGGAATGGGTGTCGAATTGGCGATATTCTTATTTTTTATTTACTTATATATTTTAGTGTTTGCCTTTCTATGAAGAGAATGTCAACAATTTAATGTTGCCATTTCGGAATCTATTCTTTATTGGCGCAAGTTTAGATCATTTTTTTTTTTTTTTTTTATTTATTAAATATATTACAATCATTATCATAACAAGCACATAGTTTAAACCGACAATGTTGACGTCACATAGAAATCCACAAAAAATATAAATAATTATCAAATTGCATTTAGAAAATCATATTTTACATCACAAACAAATAATTAATTAAAATATCACTAACAAGCTAAAAGAATATAAAAAATAGTCAATTATTACTCAAATATAATATTAAAATTTCATTAAATTTTGCCAATGAATAATGGAACACATCCACTGAGTTCGAGACAGCATTCAAAATCCTCAGAGCTGTGGTGATGGGCGCATGCTTAAGTAAATTGGTTCTACACCTAAATTCAGCAAATGTTTGCCCCCGAGGTGCTACGCGAAGCCGTGTATTGGGTACGATCAGCCCCATCTGCTGCAGTATATCTGGGTTTGTAAGTATCCCCCGCAAAACCTTAAAAGCATAGGTTGCCAAAGCTACTTTCCTTCTCAATTCTAGTCTGTGATATCCAACCATTCCTAGAACGAAAAGGGTTGGATACATTAAGGGAAAATATGGGTATACTCCATACAGCTTCCAGTACAGATACCTGCAAAACTTATTTTGTATTTTTTCTATCATTAGGATATATTTAGATTCATGAGGGCTCCATACAATTGCGCTACATTCAAGCCTGCTCCTAATAAGTGCATTATACAGGACTTTTATTACCGCAAAGGAAGTGAAATCTTTTGTTTGCCTTAACACAAACCCTAAATTCCTAAATGCCTTCTTACATGTCTCTACAATATGAGCTCTAAAATTAAGATCCTAGAAATCAAAACTCCCAAATCCCTAATTTCTGTTACCCGCATCAATTTTTCGCCTTCGATCTGGTATTGGTGTTCAATAATAACATTTGCTCTTGAACATGACATTATTTTACATTTAGAAACATTAAAAAATAGCTTGTTTTCTTGACTCCAAGCTACCACCTTATCGATGTCTCCTTGGAGGCACTCGCAGTCCGAAACGCCATCTATTTTCCTATACAGTTTCAAATCGTCAGCAAACAAAAGGCACCCCGTATGTTCACTGACTACTTCGGGAAGGTCATTAATCAGAATGACAAATTCTAATGGGCCTAAATTACTTCCCTGACTAATCCCTGATAGAGTTGGATAAGGTGCAGAAATACGATTTGCATACTCAACGAATTGCTGGCGACCCTCTAAGTAACTTGCAAAGAAATTTAGAAGCTTAGGTGTAAAGCCAATTTTCGATAACTTCAAAAGAAGAACGTCGCCATTAACCACATCAAACGCCTTTTTGAAATCGAAGTAGGCTACATCCAACTGACCGCCCACTCTCGCATCCATGGCGTTAGCGGCGTCCTGCGTAAAACATAGTAGGTTGGAGTCCGTACTCCTACCCGGTCTGAACCCATGCTGCGCGTTTGTAAATCTCCCTTGTACTTGCTTGAGTATTTGGTCATATATAATAGACTCAAATACCTTTGCAAAGGTCGATAATGTCTAACTCGAAGTGCTGTCGAAGAGTACTTGCTACAATCAGCACGTAGTAGTGACTATGTACAACCGAGGTCGTTAGCGGGTTGCCTTGACAGAGGTCGGTTTGCTTGTTTGTTTGTTACCCGACTGCCTAAGGAGGAGAGTTTTTGGAGAGTATGTAAGTAGGTCTATAATGTATGTATGTGGACTAGTAAATTCTTTTTCACGAGCTACATACAGCCCAAACGGGAAGGCGGACGCATGCTAGGTACAGTCGGAGTCAAAAGAGCATACCTAGGACCGCCTCAAATGGTTCAAAATATTTCGAAAAATATATTACTTTGGTAAATTATTTCTTTTCTTGACTATGCAGCTAGTTAAACTCTATTCACAACCAAAACAATAATTTACAAAACTAATGTAGTTTCAGAGATATTTTGAACCATTTGAGGCGCTCCTAGCTAGTATGCTCTTTTGACCCCGACTGTACATACCTGTGAGGTGTCGTTAGATTAATCTCAGCAGCGCGAGTGACAATGGCCCCATTAAAATAACTTAAATTTAAAGCGATTTTCATTCAGATTTCTAATGCAAAATATTAGGTACTGCAGTCGGTTTTATGTTTTTTTATTAAATTATGCTTGTTGATTTTTGTGCCACGGTGGCGTAGCAAAAACAGTTTAATGTGTATCACACGTCCTACGTATGTTTACATTAGTTGTTAGCGTCAAAATACACCTGCGTAACTCTAAAGGAAGGTACTTTATCTACATACGGAAATTTGGTAGGTTTATGATGCCGTGTGGTGCCGGCTTAGAATAGCATCATCCCATATCATATCCGTGGGTGTCGTAAGAAGCGACTAAGGGTTTTGAGAGTAAATGTGAATTGCAAATTTTAGGCGACGGGCTGACAGCCTCTCACTAAGTACCTATGTGATACACAATCTTCTGAATGACTCTCAATCTTTTGTGAGACGTGGTGTGAATGGCCGTTACTTTACAGCCGTTTACGCTCTGCCTACTCCGCAAGGGATATAGGCGTGATATATGTAGGTATGATATTTTTGGTAAAAATATCTAGTTATCGCATGGTATGGCTGACGTCATTATTGCAATAAACTCGAGATAACCAACTAATTTAAGTAGGTATGCCAAATCCGGTGTCACGGTTAATGAAATAGTTAGTACCTATCGATAACCTTTCGTGCATGCATTATCGATCAGTTTACGAAAATAAACAACTGTCCTAAAAAAACAAATCGAATTTATGAAAAATTATTTTAGATTGAAAGGGCACAAAGTAGATAGGCGCCAGCCAATTCTTACTTTGTGGCAACGGGCTGGTCGCATCTTTCGTTTGTAGTATGTTGGCATATCAGTTGGATGGTTTTGACAGTAGAGTGTCGCTAGCATTACAATGGCAAAGAATTGGCAGACTTGGGGCATTGGTTCAGCCGTTGAAATATTTGATTTTCAGCAATCTGTCTCTCGTTCTGAATAACCTTGTAATAATTCTGTGTAAGTTATAATGGCTGTTTTCCATCCGATCCATCAAGATTGTTTATTCTGAGCTGTGACACACCCCAGGCTGCGACAAAGATATCTTATTTCAGAAGAAAGTAATAGTCTCGATTCCGTGTGGCACTGGCACCGGCATTTTACAGTCGTTTACGTTCTGCCTAACCCGCAAGGGGTATAGGTGTGATAAATGCGCCTCGATTGAACGTTGGTTCAAATTCAGCAAAAATAGTAGAACAGCGCTCCCTTGTTAAATGAAATTTAAGATATCAGGTAATAATAATAAAAAAAATAGTGTTAACTTTTATTATGTATGACTTTACGCACTTTATGTATTAATATTTTTTAATCGTCGCTTAATATTTGTCATACCTATCTAAACCGCGTAAAATCATAGACATTTTTAGTCAAGACTAACTATCTTAGCGTATTCAACTAAAAACACAGCACTAATTCTAAGATATTTTAGGCTGTAAAATGGAATAGAGACTATTGTGTTAAACTGAATTTAGAAGAAATCGAAGAACAACCGAGTTTTGTTTTTATTAACGTTGGATTCGCACTTGAATGTATTTAAGTAGCTAGGTCAAAGGTGACAGAGATAGGCAGTGCCGAAAATATTGAGCAAGTTCATTCAAAGTTCATTCACTTCAACTTCCCAGAAGTCTAAAGTGGCTATTAGCTATTATTACACTACAGGGTCCGATTTGTCATACATACATACATATATCACGCCTATATCCCTTGCGGGGTAGGCAGAGCGTAAACGCACAAAGTAAGTATTGGCTAAATTCTCTATTTTGTGGTAAACGGCAGTAAAAAACGATCATGTACCTACCTACACCACGTCTGAGTTGGAGAGTAATTCAGAAGACCGTATCAACCGTATCAGCCTGTCGCCTAAAATTGCATTAGACATCAACTCTCAAATCCCTTAGTCGCTTCTTATGCAACCCATACTTAGACTAGGTACCCTAGTGCTAGTACTATTATATATTCTGTGCTTAGACTCAAAAATACTCAAAATAACCAGTAATTGTATTCCAAAAGTTCCTACACTACCTACCTACCTACATATGCATACGATAAATAAATAAGAATCATAATATATGACGTATAATAGTCTATGATAATAGGCAATTGTTTTTATGGGATACGGTAGAGGTATTCGCAGGATATAATTATCTATTATTAGATCACATCAAGATCTAAGCAATAATTAGATTAGATCGACATCTGTATAAGGTCACTGTCTAGACGGATAGACATAATAAAATACAATTGCCATAGTACTTAAGGGCTTAGAGTTTCTCAATCTGGTATGTGCTCATTTTTTCCTCGACAAAGCGTGAGTCAATGTATTGGATCTTTTAATGCACTCACGGCGCTATATTATTCTCATTAATTGAAAATGAGAAAATTGAAAAATTCACCAGCGACCGCCGGGACTTGATCCCGGGACTGTGGATCACCGTTCCACGGCTCTACGAATTGAGCTACGGGCGCCTAGCGGACCCTGGTGAATTTCTCAACCTCTTTATGCTCGTCTCGAAGCGACGATCCAGCGACATCTGTAGAAAGTATTTAGAACTTTACTACATGATTAGTCCACATTATGAGTGGAATTCAAACCAAAATTCATATGATAAAATAAATAATAAATAAATAAATATCTCTGGACGTGACACACAGCGCCATCTAGCCCCAAACTAAGCAAAGCTTGTACTATGGGAACTAGACAACTGATAATAATACTTATACAACGTGTTACAAAACAACCCATAAAAACTCCCATACAAATGGAGTTCATTTTGTATGGGAGGACCAAATTTTTTTTTCATATTTCGACCCATGTTCCATAGGGAAAGTTGTTCAGTTTTACGAGTACCTTGACCTCCTTTCAGCTTTATTGGTTGTTTTGTAACACCCAGTATACTTTTTTTTGTAAATAAATACATATTATACATAGAAAACACCCAGACTTAACACAAATATTTGAAAATTGACTTGACAAATATTTGTGTTCGGTGGGAATCGAACCCACGACCCTTGGCGTAGAAGGCAGGGGCACTATCCACTACGCCATCGGGACAGTCAAAATTATGAGGCTTGCTTAAACCAATAATCGGCGCTTCGAGACGAGCATCAAGAGGCTAAAAAATTCACCAGGGTCCGCTTCGCGCCCGTAGCTCAATTGGTAGAGTCGACCGCCGGGTTCAAGTCCCGGCGGTCGCTGAATTTTTTTTTAATTTTCTCATTTCTAATTTATGAAAGCATGAGTCATCTCTAAAATAACCTGAAGTACATACCTATAACCTGATTCATAACAGGAAAGAGAGGGATTATAAATAACGCTAAAAAAAATGCTTTCTTCCTCGCACTAAGGCTCTTGCATACACTAGACATTCATGTTTTCTTCCTTCCACTTAAGAAACCCGCCGTTTATGAACTTTTCTTATGAACCAGGTTATACCTACCTATTATGATATTTGAAAAACATTTTAGTTGTAGCCGTGTCAATTCGTTGTTTTTGGCATAGGTATTAATATATTTCCTTTTTAAAACTATAGATATCTGGCCTGGCCCCAGCATCATCATCTGCCTGCCCTTATTCCAAATCAGTTGAGATTCGGCACAACAAGTTTTGTTAGAGCACAAAACCATGTAGCAAACAAAATATTTGGCAAAATTTTATAACTGGCCGGCCGGCCGCCTTACGTCAACCCTCTTTGGGAATGCTGTTGTAAGTGGTATAACCGCCACCATGCGGTTGCGGGTGGACCATAGTCGACAGATATTCAGCTGAGCTGAGGTGAAAAAGCCGATAGCACACGGCAGCGGTTAGGTATAAGGTGCACTACTTATTCTTATTTATAACACTGCACTAAGGATAAAAATGATTATGAAACGACCCAAATCCGTTCCAGTCTCATGCTAGCACATCCTGTAAACATCGTACAGGGAGTGGCGCATTGTTTTTGTGTAGCAGCGCGTGCGCAGCCAGGTTGACAGTCAATACAACCGACGATAAGTGTCAGAATGTTTGACATATGACATGAAATTTCGTTCGATATCACGTTCAGCGATGCGTTGCCTGCCACTGCCAGTTGGTGTAACTTGCGCTGATAAAGAATGGATACCGAGTTAGCAACATTATTGTTGACATCCTGGTCGTATGTCATATAATATGATGATAGCATAGATGATAGTGAGGCAAACAATAATATGTACTGCCAATTCAGAATCCATTCTTTATCTGAGAAAGTTATACCAAATTTTAAAACACTTGCCGTGTTAGGTACTTAAGCAATTTTTATAAAACTTGAAGTTTCGCAATCAATTTATCGCTGGTTTTCATCGCTTTGGCTACATTCAATATGTAAAGAATGAATTAGTTGCAAAACTATCCCTGTAGAAGGAGCCCTGCCATGTGTTAGTGGCCAAGATAGACTTGCTTAATTTCGTAGACTAAGATTGAGCCATGGTAGTTGATAGAGATATCACCAGTTACAGATTGCGAATGTTGCAGGTTCTGCCTGTGGTGGAAAATTATGCACCTTTTCTAAAAATACTTAGCTATAACTTTACGAAGTTAATATGCTTTAGGCAGCAATTTATATTGACTAATATCCTCAATTAATAAAATAGTTTTCTTTAATTGAGGATAGTGAGTCCAGCTAGCTTAGACTCTAGGTCTAGGACGAAGTCTAGGCCTGTGGTCTAGGTCAAATGTAAACGTGACAAAATTCGGCGATTCAAGTAACGCAACCACATTGGACTTTACATAATAGACAAACAGGTGATGTGTTAAGAAACAAAAACCCGACTGTGGGAATTTGAAGTTGTATTTTGCGAGAAAAATCCGCCATTTTGAATTTTATTTTATTTTATTAGGTATAATTATAATTAACAGTTATACAGTATAATAACTCATAACAGTTAACACTTAATGAACTTAAATAAATATATAACCAATCTGTTTATCCATTTATGACTTTTTAATACGTATAACTAGCCACTGTCACTCGCGCTGCTGAGACGAATCTAACGACACCTCACATATCATGATCCGCCCAGCCGTTTCGGCTGTAGCCTGTGAAAATGAATTTCTGGATACATACATAACGTACTCTCGAAAAACATAACCCTCCTGTGATAGTCGGGTAAAATAGTATAGAAAATGCTGTTAAACTAGTAGTTTTTTTACCTTATACCTATCAAGGAAATGGCCCCAATAGGTCAGTGATGTAGGTACTAAGTAACGCTTCATAAAACCTACTTATTCAAGGCCGACAATAATCAACGACCGGTTACACAAGGGTTATGTTTTTCGAAAGTATGTATTAGGTATTATGTTTGTATGTAAGTATGTAGACAAAAAATTCGTTTTTACGGGCTACAGCCCCAACGGCTGGACGGATCGTGACGTGACGTATTTGTTTCAGCAGCGAGAGTTACTAAATTAGAATTTCATAAATTCAAGATGGCGGATTTTTATTGCAAAAATACAACTTTGAAATTACCGCAGTCGGGTTCTTGTTTTTTAATACATCTGCTTGTTATTTCCCCAAATAAGTCCCTGTCTAAGTTGTTTACAGATCTCTATCTTCACGGGCAATTTGTTGGGTAGCCTGAACCGGTTTCAACTGGTCGTAAGATAACTTCCGGTTTTTTACAATAATCGGTTAATTGCAGTTGCCATCAGTTAAGTTGCGTGCGTGATCGACTAGATAGGGAAATATGAATATGGATAGGCACTCACTCGGTCGGTGTAAACAAAGTTTAGCTAACCCGTTTTCTTTTTTACGAAGCGCTTGGTTGGTCTAGCTACTTAGCTAAGTATTAAACTTATTTCTACAGGGTGGACCGTAGGTTTCTAGGTACAGTGACGACCATAAAGTTTAAGGGAAATAGATAAACTAAAGCTCAAAATTTCTCTTAGATGAAGTCACTGTAGAGGTAGGTAATTGTACATAGTTTAAAATTAAGTCTGTCTTTGCGTTTCTCTGCCTGCCTGTCTGTCAATGATGGTTTTGATTCGACTTTTGTAATAGATAGAGCTATTCAAGAGGGTGGTTTATATGCAAAACACATGGCGGGAAAACGCCTTTTACCGGGGGAAACCGACTTGCAGCGAGTGAAACCAACGGGCCGCTAGTAGGAAAATAAAGTTGTTTTGTCTCCGAAAAAATTGCTACTAAAGTAAGCAAGTAGGTAGGTACATGACAAATTCTTGCTACAAAAGTAACATGTCCAATCCTTTGGAGTTCTAAGATAGTGAAAAGGATTACGACAACTCACTAAAGACCTTCAAGTCTTAATAAGGGTGTAATAGATCCGCTCTGCTCGTATAACGGTTATTTCACACGAGCCTCCACAAGGTCCAAGGGTCTGACTGCTTCCGTGTAGACGAGGCCTTGTTTCTTGTTAATATGTTCGCTGCTTTACGATTTCATACATTAGTTATTATTATTAAGTAATAAAAATAAATATTAAATAGGACTGCAAATAAACCTATGGCCTAGGTACTTTAACCGTGCCAGCGACACTCAACTGTCATTCTGTTGCCCCCTTATTGCCCCTGTGATTTTCTACTAGGTAGGTAAGTATAGGTACCTACTCGTAGGTACTAAAACTATTGGAATACGAAACTACCAAAATCGTCCAACTGACATGCTATCGACACACAAGTGAAACGATTTTCAATTAGCAGACTACGCTACGGCCCTTAATAAGGATCAACTTACCCTAAGAAGCATGTTCGAAATACGAAGACGACAACGTTAGGTCGTACCATAAAAAATTTACCTATCTAGCTGACAAAGTCAATTTGTATGGCAGGTATGAAAAAAAAAATGTCGAGCTAATGGAAAAATGGCGAATTTTGAATTTCAGTCACTAGTAATATTCCATGCAATTACCTAATTGAGCCGCCTTCCCGAAGAGGCAGCAGACAGGGTTGGAACTTTAGTAGGGACTATCCTTCTTGACTTGCGGTACGATACTGACACACCTCTTTCGCCTGCCTGACAATTCTAAAAAAATATATTACCTTAGCATCGAAACTGTTAATCCTAAGTGCAATTTCTAATGAATCACATTTTGCTCCATAATATACCTATCAGTCATCTCACCATGACATGACTCTGTCCACGGTGCATGCTTGGCCTCGTGTCACCTGTTGATGGTGTAATTATGGTGTGTGCACAAGGAAAAGATACTACATCGAATAAAAAAAAAAGTTCGCGTTGAATTAAGAACCACTTCCGTTTTTTTTTCGTCGGTTAAAAAGTACAAAAAGTCACTTCTACCACAAAATGGAGAGTTTACAGAAGGTTCACACGGCCCTATTACGGTAAAAAGTAATCTGGGAACAACCTAGCCAAATTGTGGCCAAATACATAGTTTTCTTTTTGTTGTTGTTCGGTTCATTAAATAAGGAAAATTTTGCATTACGTTTCTTATTATTGTACCCTGTTTTTTCCCGTTTAACACAAAAAATACAA